ATTTTATCAAAAAACATTTTTGTTTAATTACTTTGTTTTTTATAGCACAAGCATTTCTTCCTGAATGTTTTTTTGCATTGCAATTAGGTTTTCAAATTTGTTATTTATTTATAAATTGAATAAATTATTTTTCTTTTTACTTACATTTATTTAACTTTAAAAATCTGAACCACCTCCAAGCGGCCTCGAATCTGCGATTTCAGAACCAGAACCAGTAGTCTTCACGTGACGCCACAGCCGAGATTTGTAAGAAAAGCAATTAATTGCGTTTTATTTTTGGCTTTGGCAATTCAAAGGCAGATGTCGCTGATCGCCTAAGTCCTTCGAAATTGTCGAACTGGTAGGCACATACTAGTTAATGAACTAGTATTTTTTCTGACTGGTTTGGCTTTTCACAGCAGGGTATGCATACCATGGTGTACAAACCACATGTCTGTCAGGGCTATTAGAGGAAAAAAGCTGTATAGCTCTGTTTGTGTGGGCGATGCTCCGTTGAGAATAATCTCCGACTCGGCACCAGGGTTACCACTAAAAAACTTTCTTTCCTACCATGAGCTGGTTCAAAAACCTACCAATATGGCTTCTTTCCTACCATTTCTTTTAATCAAGGAGACGGCGTTTGACAGCATTAAATACATTAATTTTTGCTGGTTTTTATACCTAAAATAAGATTTCCAGTTAACAAAAAGATCAGAATAATAGCTATTACATACATATAGCACACAAAAAAAGTGGTGTGTGCTTTAACCAGACCCACCTACCGACATGTATTTCGACCCGCTGAATCCGAATCTGAGGTCAAAATTTCGAGTAAATTGCGAAAAACCGAATAAATGGCAAAAAGTTCACATAGTTTATAGTTTTAATAAAGCCTTCGGAGTAAATAGCGTGAATTATCGTAGCGGAAAATAAAATTCCGTCGTAGATTTTGTATATATCGCTCATTTGCATACATATATTATGAAGTACATATATATATATCGCTACCTAAAGGTGCAAAGGTGCTAATTCCACTTTTTTTTCTCAAAATTTAGCTTTTGATGCAGAATGACAGATGATGCGAAACTACATAGATTTTTCGTCTCTCCTGAACAGTTTCAGAAAATTGACTTGGCACCTATTCACCTTTAGTTAACGATGTACATACATATATGTACATTAGTAAGGTAAAATAAACCTCACGGTTAGGCTTGCCAAATGTCCAGGTCTATGAGCCTCCGTGGATTTGACATTAATTTCTTCGAGTTCAAGATTCTCCGATTTACGGGAAATATGACTACCAATAAGTGGCCTTCTTTTTTGAAACTATCTTCTGGTGTCATTTAAAATATTTTAACAACATTGTCATTGTTGAAACTATTATCGATTCGCAACTGCATTTAAAAAAAAAATTTCTGAAAAACCTACCTTTGCATCCATCAGTTCAGTCACTTGATATCCCTTTTGATACGCAGTGGATACAACTTTTTATAGCGTACACAGAGTTCAGAGAATTGCCGAAAGTATGCAATTGGTAAAATTATGCCTATACCAGTAAGTAACGAGTTTTTTAAAAGGTCCCATTCAAGAAACAGCATGAGGGTAAAACTGATATTGCCAAAATTTGGCAAGCACAGTGCTGACAAAGTGACACATTACAACAAGCCAGAAATTTTTTCTGTTTTATGAGCAAAGAAACCTACCAAAATTTTAAGCGTCCTACCATCCTACCAACGAAAACAAAACCTACCTATTTTGGTAGGAAAAGCCCAAAACGGCAACTCCGCTCGGCACGCTTGGGTGGACAATAAAAGCTGTGGCGCAAACTATGAAAATAGAAGGAAGACAACGATAGTTTGATTAATTTGAGTGGCGATTCATCCCCGAAAGTTACTTGCACATTTTGCTCACCTCAATCCATGCTCTCACACAAAGCGCCGGACAAAGTTGTCATATTACCGGTTGCTGGCCAGAGCTAAGCAAAGGCCTCTTCTCGAACAGAGTCCCTGCAGTGAAAAGCCAAACCAGTTAGAAAAAATACTAGTTCATTAAGTAGTATGTGCCTACCAGTTCGACAATTTCGAAGAACTTAGGCGATCAGCGACATCTGCCTTTGAATTGCCAAAGCCAAAAATAAAACGCAATTATAATTGCTTTTCTTACAAATGTCGGCTGTGGCGTCACGTGAAGACTACTGGTTCTGGTTCTGAAATTGCAGGTTCGAGGCCGCTTGGAGGTGGTTAAGATTTTTAAAGTTAAATAAATGTAAGTAAAAATAATTTATTCAATTTATAAATAAATAACAAATTTGATAATCTAATTGCATTGCAAAAAAACATTTAGGAAGAAATGCTTGTGCTATAAAAACAAAGAAATTAAACGAAAATATTTTTTTTTTCTTAAATTTAAAAATTACAATAAACAGCCTAAACAAAAAAATAAATTTATAAAAAATAAAAATAAAATAAAAAATAGAAAATAAAAAAACTTTCCCTGCGCCAGGATTTGAACCTGGGACCTCAGGCTTACCACGCGAGTGCTTTGCTCTGTAGGCCATTGTGACTGCTGGAGCGTCGCAAGCAAAAAAGCACACTTATGCTTTTCACGGGGCATGAATTGGCAGACCATCTCATCAACTGATATGATGCTACTAGTATTTATACTAGTAGATGCTGATGCATAGCCTGACAATTGACATCTCGTAGGACATCGCAATGATAAAAATACCAGTCGCTAACATTGAAAAAGGATAGAACGTGAACCAGTTCGGCTGAAACGCAAACCGGTAGAATTCTAGTTCACAACTAGTAGCTTTCCCTGCAGGGGTGCTTCGGATGCCGGATGACCTACCGAGTTAGTAAGCTTTATCTGGGACCAGCGGTCCTCCGCCGGAGCGGACGACCCATTTTCTCCAAAACTCGAGGGGCTCATTAGACTAGCCAATACTGATTTTGGCGGGGCAAATATTAAAGCTGTTTTTGATAGACTTTTGGCGCTGAATAAGAATCTATAGGCATAAAGTTTCTATCAGCTCCAGATTTAGAGAAATATGCTAGAAAAAAATTTTTGAATGTGCGTTTTTTGTCAATTTCTAGAGAAGAGCAGGTCTAAGGCACTCCGTACATTAAGCTCCTAATCATAGTAGTGTAATCGTTTCGGCTTACTAAAGTACAAAGCTTTTATGCCGAACCCATGTATTTCAATGAAGCTCTGTACATTACGATTCAAAATCATGTTTTCGCCTAATCGTTAAAGCATCATGAATCGAAGCGCCCAACTTTGTAAGGCGCTTGGAGTTTTAAAATCGTCATTTGTTTACTTTATTGTGTTGGAAATAAAATTTATTTGTCAATTCAATAGAAAATAATTGAAAATGAATGATTTCGTGCTGAAATTAGTGCAAATTGTATTAAACCACAAGCGTTTATACAATATTTCGGAGCAGAAATATTTGCGGAAGTGCGTAGTTGCGAAAGAACGGCCAGAAAATTTGTTATGTGTAGAAAGTGTTTATTAGCTGGTGACTTATGCACGGCGTACAAGTGTACAGAAGTCGAGTCGTCATGCATTCGTTTCGGTATGATGAAACGATTACTCTACTTTGATTAGGCACGTAATGTGCCGAGTGCCTTAAACATAATCTTGGCATTAGCAGAATTTTACATACACCCCAAAAATTTTAAGTTATTTATGATAAAATGAAACCGACTCTGATAATCTTACGTGCGTTGGAAAGCGAAAGTTTGTATCTTTCCACTGCTTTTAGGAAATGTATGCTTAGTTGATAACCATTGACTCCGCGAACTAAAAACCTTGAGAAAAATCGGAAAGAAGTGGTTATGGTAACTCTGGGTTAAAATTACAACCTACACTTGTATTAAACCCATATCTTGTGCCTTATCTGAAGCAAACTTGATGTTCGCCTCTTTAAAAAGAACTTTTTCAGGCTATAATCTTACAAAAAAAACTCTGAGCAATGAAGACTTTTTCGATTTCGAAAAACCCAAAAAATTCAAATGGGGAGGAGGCGTATAAAAAATCGTTAGTGTTGAAAACTGTAAAATAAGCAGTTAAGTATTATTACTCAAACTGTCCTAAAGAGAAACATAAGTTTTCGATTGAAAAAATTGATTTTCGAGAGTTCTATACCCTTTCTACGAAAAAGTATATTCGCCATATAAAATACCTGGAAAATTTCATGTGCTTTGAGGCAGTTATAAATATGTATATATATGTATATATATATTGTTTTTGTTAATTACGCGTATTTTTTATTCCATTTAGAAAAACTCTAGGGGCGAGAGCTTAACGTTTCAAACTTTTTTGGGTTACCCTAACGTACATGCATTAGCTGCTCGTTCACCCAATTAGTTTTGTATTTGTATAAGTGAAATGCGAATGTGAAGAGAATCGGAATCCGAAGACAAATATGGAGATGAATTCGAAGGCAAATACAAATACTAATGAGGATACATTCCGAAAAGGAATACGAAGACAGCGACTAAAATGAGGACTAAAAAACCTTCGGGACCCTAGAAAAGCGACCGAATTTCAGCAGTAACTGGCACTCTTTGTATGAATAGTAGATTAGAAAAAAGAAAAGAATTCTCATGAATTAAACCCGAGTAATAAGAGTACCAGCTAGTATAAAATCAAGTAAAACTTATCGAAGAAAATCTCCAAGATTTACATACATATGTTGCTCGTAATTTTATTTATTTTTGGTAAAAACTGTATGCAGATATGTTCACGCATACGTGTTGACACTGTATCCTTGTTTTTCTGTCATTTCGTCTTAAATAAGCTTTTAAAAATAAATCTTTAATTGAATCACCTCTGAATGATAAATTATTTAACGCAAATCAATAAGTAAATAATGGCTTAGTCAATTGATTTAATATCAAGTGTATAATAAAGTTTTGTAATAAAATAAGTTCACATAAAGCTGACGAACAAAACATAAATCGATGTCAAGCTTCAATTTAAATCAATGTTTTGGTAGCTGCTGTTTAACACACGTTTTTAATAACGCTATCCACATAAAGAAGACCGAAGCTTGCTCAGACGTAGCTTAAAGTGCAGTTTCTACTTGTTTGTCGTCAAGCTAAATTTATGACCTACGCGTTGACAAGTGGAGCAAAGCGCTAAGTTTTGCTTTTTTTCGGCACATCAAACCAAATTAAAATTCGATATGCCGATTAGACTCTTTGCCCAGCCCAGCTACATCAAGCACATTAATTCGGTACACATAAAATAATTCAGCCATAAATAATATAAACTAATGCATTTTTGTGGCATCATCATGGATTCCGTATAAAAGATGGTCCAATGATAGCAGCAAATCATTCCAATCTGGACTATTTCAGAGTCTTATTAGAAAAGACCAAAGCGCATTAAATAAAATCAAAACAGTTTATAAAAACGACTAAGAAATGCGTGGTTTCATCGTCCTTTGTTTGATCGGAGTTGTTTGTGCAGATAAATTGGGTTACAACTATCGCCCCGTAGGCCACTCAGATGCTGGACTTTCTTTCACTCCTGGTACTGGCAGCGGTGGATCAGGTGCTGTTGGTGAACATAGCGATATTGGAGGCTTAGGTGGCAACGGTGGCAGTGGACCTGCAGGATCTGGCCTTTCAAAACAAGCCCCAGTTGCTGAATATGAGAAGGAGTTCTTCACTTACACTGCCGACGAGAATGACTTTAGTGAACCTGCTGGAAATGATCAAGTAGTCGAATCGCTAAAAAAGAATCTTCGAGTTATTTTCATTAAGGGTCCTGAAGGCAATGGCCTGGAAAAAGCAGCTGTGAACTTGGCCAGGTCCATTTCTGAAGAGAGAACCGCCATCTACGTACTGCAGAAACAAGCTGATCTCGGTGGTCTTGCCAACCAATTGCAGGCACAAAACGATATTCAGCGCAGCAAACCGGAGGTTCACTTCATTAAATATCGTACTCCTGAGGACGCGGCCAACGCTCAACGTGCCATTCAATCCCAGTATGACCAGCTTGCAGGAAAATCTCAGTCACATGATGGTGGTGCCGCGCCAGTTCACAATTTTGCATCCCCCGCAGCTCAGCCTGCTCCACGTCCTGTCAGTGCTCCAGGTGCTGCTTATCTGCCATCTTCGATTTTCCGTGCATAAATTATATAAAAAGTGAGAAAAAATAAATTTATTTTGGCGATAAATGTTACTTAGTGATAGCTGTACATATTTATGTATGTATATAGACTGAAAATTTGTTGTTAAAGTTGTCGTTTGTTTTTGACGATTAGTAAATGCGAAATTAAAAAGAAATATGTATATTTAAATTGTTAAATTGATTACTCAGTTAATGATATTGAATGAACTTTTCCGACCATGCCATATAAAACGTGTAAAAATATTTACCTTAACCGGGATACCCTGCGATTCGGCGGTACAAAATTCGCAATGTTTGGTTTATTCGGCGCATAAGTGTGGAGCTACGCAAGGGAAGTAAGGTCATATGTTCGCAGTCTCAGGGCAGTCTACCGGCTATGTGCGCTAATTGATCTCTCGCCTGTACGGCGAAGTGAACTTCCATTTAACCCAGATAATCACGAGGAGCTTGACCATTGCGAAACGTATGGTGATGGCACTATCGAAAACGACGAACATGTTTTGTTCCACTGCCCGAAATTCGATCTGGATAGAAACCACATTCGCTCAGTGTTTGGGAAAGCCCCAACCCTGAAAACATAGTAGTTCATATGATAGAATCCACTGAAAAATGGGAAGCAGTGAACAATGCATATTTTGACTCAACTGAGAAGAGGTGAGCGGCTTCGAAATGGACGACACACAACCACGCCCAGATAGTGTTGTTCCGATACAAGTAACTACGAGTAAATACTTGATACTTTCTTCAAGTACTGAGTACTTTTTTTACTCCAATCTTTCCCACAAGTACTTAGTTGGGTATCGAGTACGCGGTTAGAGTATTTACTTGCTTTTCCACCTATTCAGAATTTTGGTTGTGACATAGTGTGCTATCCGTACTAGTAAAATTTTCACATTTTTCAAGATTTACGGCCATTCTTTCGGTCGGTTTTGGCCGAAATTACTCGATCAAACTTATGGCTACTCTTTTAGTAAGTTTCCATCGGAAAGTACTCGAATTGCTTATTTTTTTCTTCCCATGATATAGCATTGCCGCGGCGGCAGATAACGCAACTTTCTTATTAAACTTATGAAACTGTTTTAATAAATAGGTATCGAGTACATGACAGTATCGGAACAACACTACGCGCAGATTAAATATCTACCACCAGGCGCGATATTTGTCGGGCTACTAGCTGCTGAGGCAAGAAGAATATGCAAGAGGTAAGAGGCGTTACGTAATAGGCGGACGCAACATAGGACAGCTCCAAGTTGATGCAACTTTCAAACAAACTGCATCAGGACTGCAACAAAGGACTGAAGCTTCGTGCTCAACCAACCTCCCAACGAATTACTTGACGGTGGTACCGGGAGGGGAACGGTACATGACGGTAGGAGGTTTAGTTTGGTTTTAAGTCTCACACTGACGGGGTTAGGCTTTCAATGCTTTCTGCTCATACATATGCATGAATGTACAAATGCTGAGGAGCTCAGGCTGAACATCAAGAAAAGCGAAAATTGTTTAAACAAGCCATCCGTGACAGCAATCGCAACATCGAGCCGTAACCGCCAAAATAACGTAAGCGACATTTTTTTCAAAATTTTCTTTTTGATGCAGAAATATTCCTAGAGCATCTAGATACATTTCTGCATCAAAAAGAAAATTTAAAAAAAAATGTCGCTTACCTTATTTTGGCGGTTAGGGCTCGACATGTTTAAAGAGCTATGCGATGATATCAATAATAACCCGTGGGGCTCTGCGTATTTCGTTTCATCCATATATCGATGGCTGAGTGGAAGATCGACCTATCTCGGCAGCCAGTTCGAAAACGCTCTATCTCAAAAAACTTTTCAAGAACGCTCTATTTCAGAATTTAATTGAAAAACATCCTATCTCAAAATTCTGTTCAAAAACGCCCTATCTCACTTCAAAATGTATTGCAAATATGCTGATATAGGGCGTTTTTAAATCGGCAGCTGAGATAGGGCGTTTTTGAAATGAATTCTGAAATACGGCGTTCTTGAAAAGTTTTTTGAGATAGAATGTTTTCGAACTGGCTGCCGAGATAGGTCGATCTTCCACTCAGCCATCGATATGTAATACTTCTATATTGGCAGTAAGCTAAGTTCTCAATGTGTAAACATTCCGAAATCAAAACGAGACAGTCTAATACCGTTTTTGTGTAGGTATTGTGTACATGGGCGTAGCCAGGTAGGGGTATATATTCAAAAATTTTACCAGGAAATGCTATCTCGATAAATTCCCCATTCCATTTAAGAAGGGTAAAAACCTAGCTGTAGTCGACAATGAGCGAAAATGGATTGAATGGTAAACTAACAATTAGCCACGTAGTCTATGGCTTTGGGGATTGCGAATACCTCAGCCTGGAAAGCATATTTCCCAAAAGAAAAAGTAAAGCTTATCCCCATTAACTTTGAAAAAATACTCCAGATCCTTACTCTGACTCAGTTTTGGAGCCATCAGTGAAGATTCGACAATGTGCGCGTGCGGGCTCAGTGCTGGAATTAAACCAGCGTTCGGGAATCTTCTCTCTGTAGAATATCTTCAACAAAGGTAATGGTGGCGTGCTATCCTGTAGCATTGAAAATACACAAGTGCTCAAATATCTTCCGCCGGCAATCTCCGCATCGCCTCACTCAGTGTTATACCAACATCCGTTTCCCTTTAGTTTGTAGGTGGCCTTTAAGGTTTTCCCACGTATGATGATACAAAGTGACGGTAAGTTCACCACTGCGTCAAGAGCACTATACATTAAAGTTAAATAAATAGGTTATCAAGCAACCATTTTGGTTCTTTACTATCGAGACCAGATATATTTTCGTGGACCCCCACTTACAACTCCTGGACCCCCACATTTTTTCACGCCAACGTAGGCTTTTGTCGAGTCTCCCGTGGACCCCTGTGGGTCCACCTGGACCACTTTGGGAATCACTGTAGTATACGTAAAATTTTATTTTTTTATAATTTATTTTTTTTTGTCCAGAATAACGTGTTTTCCGGCTATTTGGTATACATGTATGTAGAGCTATGAATTTAAAAAATGCATTAGGTTTTAGTTGAGACCACTATGTTCTGTAAATTTCCCAATACTGCAAAGCTTTTGCCATTCTCTTGGGAGTGGCCAAAAGTGAATTGTTTGCTTACGGTTCAAATCGCAGGCTCAATTCGTCCGGATAATAATATTTACATATCCCCTGGGTAGCGACCAAACACCCTTTTGGGAGCGAGCTAATGTGACGAGACGTATAACTCCACGTGCGCTTGGCTTGGGTCCCTGCACGTTAAAACACTACCCAATGAAAGAAGCCATGCCTCGGATGAATAAATGTCTTCGGGAAAATAAAGACTGACATCACCGCCATCCATGAAATGCGATGAACGCGGTAAGGCAAGGTATGCGTGGCCGATTTGTCTCATTGTACGATTTGGCTCTTATTCGAGATATAAATATGTATATTGGTAAAGGTAGGGACAATATCTACTATTGCACAAAAAGTGCTGCAAGATGGCGCTGGAGTCGAGTTATTGGTAAAAATCGTCAAGTGAAGTCAATCGGAGATACCAAGGATCAAATTTAAATAACCACCGTTAAATCAATCACCAGAACGATTACGGTCCTTGCTTTACGGCGACTAAACAGAATAAAGACAATTCTTGATAAATGCCTTCAAATACATTTGTAACACTTCTAGGGTATTTCGTCTGAAATAAGTCTACGTATATTGGATTTCTGTGAACTAATGATGCTCACCCATTTTGAAATTGCCACAAGGACGATTCACCATCGGGCCAGATAATTGTTGTCACAAGAATTTCTTCACGGACATAACGATTTCATTAGGTTATTTAAAACGACAATGGAGGATATGCCTTCTGCCGACAACAAAACCAAACGTGAACGTGAACTGTTGGTAAAAACGTTGGACAAAATGTTTAAATAAAAAATTAATTTTGGGCGGGACGAAGTCTGCCGGGTCTGCTAGTAATAACATAAGTACCGATTTGTTTTTTTTTTTTAACTCGTAACTTGAATTCCGGTTCTGCTTAGATACAAAAATTTAAAACCAAAGGCTGGTCTCTACGGGAAAGCATTGGTGTTATGGAGTAACTAACTCAAATGGAGGATCAAAAATATTTGAAAACAATTAAATTCAGTCTTGAAAAGAAATTGAGGATTCATATCTTAGTGTAATATAGTCCGCATTATTTTTAATAATAGTAAAAAGAGAAAACTAAATCAATGCATTAACACTACTGGAAATATGACATTTCGAACTCCGTCCAATCCTTGAAATAAAATGAATAAAAAACAAAACATTTAACTGTACTTAGATTTTTGGTTCTTTTTCGAGCACATTTGGAAGCATGTTTATTTACTAATATTTTAATGTTTATCTAAGCGATTAAATTTGCCTTTTTCCTGCTTATTTTCTTCGGTCCTGCTCATCACACATCACAAGGTTAAACAGAAAACAAATCAGCTGCACTTGATAGTAGTTGGATGAATAAGGAAAATGAATTAGCAACAAGAGTTTACGGAATGTACGTAGCTCAGTGGTTAACGCTTCTGACTTTGAACATCGATTACGCAGGTTCGATCCCTGCTGAAGTCTAGAAAAAAGAAGTCTGAGGAGGAGATGTGGTGATCTCCGAAATAGCTGCTATAACTTCTACCGCTTAGACTTTGTTGCTTTTTCAATTTTTCCTAATAAACAATCGTGGTACAAAGCTCAATAAAAAATATTAAAAACAGAAATTAAGTTATGAACAATTATAAGGCTCAAACTAAGAAAACACGTATTTATACCTTAAGTCCAGATTGGGAGGGTGTATTCAAAATTCTAAGTATGCATACATTTTGTGCATCAATTGCGGTATTCACTACGGTGTCGTAAGTGTCGTATTGTTGTATGTCGTAAACTTTAAACGCCTAAAAATATATTAATGGGGTTCGCAAAGTACCATCAAAGTCATATTATGAATTTTCGCAGTGTTACAAAAT